ATATATATGCATACATGCATACATATATGTGTGTATTCATCTCGGTATATGTATATGTCGTTATGTGTATGTGTGTATGTTTATATACCTATGATAGACACGCGTACATGCTTGCATGCATGCATACACATGCCTCGAACGCCTGGTTGTTTCGGCCCACGAGAATCTAGAGCGCTCAAACGCCTCTGGGGTAGTTGTTTAAATTAGGGTCCCTTTGGGGGGTCCTTTTTAGCAAGGGTTCCATGCTATATTTGGGGCCATCCTAGTTCAGAGAAACTACACACAGTGTGTCGCAGCTCAGATGAGCACGTCACCTTCTTCAAGTGTTGCTCCACGGCTGCATCCTACATCCAAGTCCCAAAATCCCTGAAGCCAAAGCGCTAGCCAAATCTTGAACATGATGTTGATGGGTTATGATGATGGTGATGATCATGATGATGAGGATAGTGATCACGATGATCATGTTGATGATTATGATGATGATGGTGATGATGATGATGATGATGATGTGATACGAAGCTGCTCATGTTGATGTTGGTCACGATGTCGATTCCATGATGGCCTCTCGACTACGGTGTATGAATATGGGCTTAACATGGCTCTCATCTGCATTGTTGCTGCAAGCACTATACAACCGATTACTATGCTGAAACTATGGCATGCCTGTTACTGCCCCCAGTATTGCGAGAAGATTCTTGTGCTTATTGGGACTTTCCAAGCCGAATGTCCCCTTGAGACGAGGTCATTACGTGTTCGAAGGCGACGGCAATCCTGCATGTTGGAACAAGGCACGGCAGTTTGGGTTTAGGGTTTAGGATCTCAGGCTTTAGTGTTTTAGTACGGTTTTGGGGGGGTTAGGGTTGCCAGTAGTTTTCTATTATGGCTTTTGCAGCTCCAGAGATTTCAGAAAGGTGCTGTTCGTATGAATACGGATTTCTTCCCCGAGAAATCGGAGCTAAAATGCGCCAGGGCCTCAGCCCCTGACCAAAAACACAAGGCCCTAAGCCCCTAAACCTCTACATCCCAAACCCCTAGCCCCAAAAAGACCCTGGACCCAACCCCAAACCTTAACCCCCGCCCAACTTCAAAGCCTAAAAAATAAGACAGAGCTAGGCCCTAACCCTAAGCCCAAACCTTCTAAGCCTTAAAGGCATGAAACTTTCATGACTTTAAGTCAGGCCCTCGTGTCGGCGAATATGAACTACGACTTCTGCTGCAAGCTCTCGTCTTGGAACGATCACGATGCATCCATCCCGCCATTTGGCCAGGAGCCAGAACCTCGTGCATTGGTGCTGTAAGGTTTTCTTTAAGGGTTCCTCTACGGTTTTCCTTTAAGGCCCCGAAGATTGCTCAACAAAGGTCTTCAACCCACGAAAAACCATCCAATCTACGAAGCGCAGGCTCGCACCGCCACGGCGTACTATTCTGTAAGAATAAAGGTTCCACTAGGTCCCGTTGTTTTATGAAACCTCGCAGCCTAAACCCAGTCTATACAGGTTTACCCTTACCCTCGAAGGACCTAAGGACTCATATTTTAAGGCTTTGAGGTCCAAAGACCCTATTATATCAGGCTTTTGGGCTACTTTGATGCTAAGGTTTAGGGTTTAGGGTTTAGGGTTTAGGGTTTAGGGTTTAGTCTCCTCGGGAAGTCTTGTGAGCGTAGACTTGGGTTTCGCTATGTGGGGTTATCAGTTATCAGAGGTTGACCTATCTTAAGCAACCAGAACCTACTTTTTTGTAGGGTCCCTATAAATCCCATATTTGGGTTTTAAGTAAGAACCTACAAAAAATTGTGTTTTGGGTAGGTCGAGGTATACCAATACCACATAACCTGCATAATATACGTCGAATCCGGGTACATTGTCACCCCCGCCAACACAGCACTAAGTCCCAGCCACCAGGCAGTCAGAGGAGTTGCATAAGAAGCTTGCATAGAAAATCAGAAGAAGGGTACTCCAAATTATGGTCTTGATAGAAAACCCTAAACCCGAAACCCCGCAGCCCCTGAACCCTAAACCCTATAAACCCTAAACCCTAAACCGTCCTGAACCAAACCCGAAAGCCCCAATGTCCCGGCCTGAACCTTAAACCTCAAAGCGCAAGTCCTAGGGCCTAGACTGTGGTGTTCATGTTCAGCCGACGTTTGAGCATCCGAGGTTCCTGTTTTCGACCTTTCTCCGCGCCACTTCTTCGAGTTGTGTCATTTAACCGCTCGGATATCGGAGAGTCAATTCAGAGTTTACTGTACATGACAAGTATGCTGGGGTCTCTAAGACTCTAAGACGGAACGATGATGCTAATATAGGGGCCTTCATAACCACCTATACTATGTTGGGGGGTTCCCTATTATAGTTGTAGTATTACAAATTCTAGGGTTTTGTAAATAGTAAGGCCCCTGCACTAACTCTCAGCCCCCGATTTCCATCCATTCTTCGAAGGGTTTCTCGGCACTGCCTCGCTTGTACATTGTAAAGATGGCATTCGTGCCATACGGGTGATTATATAAATCCTGCATTGCCCATAATAAGGAATTTACCATAATACCCATAGGGTCCTTACAAGGTAATGCAGGATTCATATCATCAACAGTATGATGTAGGTTTCGTATCAGAGTGTTGAGAATTGTATGCATAGGGCTCTGCCATTGGAGTAAGTGTGTTTGAGTGTCATTCTTTTTTGTTGTTGGGTGGGGGGGGAGGTCAGTAAGGGACTCTACCACTAAGCCTGAAAGGCCTCAGCGCCAAGACGCTGGATACGAAGTCCTGCTCCCACAACCCCCCCAAAACCCTAAACCCTAATCCCTAAACCCTACCCTAAACCCTAACCCCTAAACCCCTAAACCGAACCTTCATTCAGCTGAACCCCCAGAATCCCTGCGCCGATTATCTAGACTACCCATAGGCCCCATAGTAGTTCCTTTTCGTGGCTTATATTTAGGATCCTATTAGGGAGTCCCAAAAAGGAACTACTATGGGGCCTGAGGGTGTAAGTCCTCAAACCCACAAACCCCATGATGCCGAACCCTTCTAAACGTCAAGCCCTGAAGTCCTAGTGTTCACTCCGCCGCGGCGCGACCAGGCCAAACATATAAAATCACATAAACACAGATGTATTTATAGATATATGTACAGATTTCGATATGTATAGGCCTATGTCTGTGTATATGTACGTGTATGTGTATGTTTACAGCTTTCTCTCTCACGCGGCGTAAGCGTCGAGAGAGATGTTACAAAAAATATCTGACATCTGCGTCCTTGGATGATGATAGAGTCAGATATCCTAAATAACAATGCTAAGCCAAATTAATTCCTAAACATCCTGAAACCATCTTATTTAAACAGTAACGGGTGTTGCTGAAGGTCGAATACAGACCTCCAGATGCTGATCAGCCGACGGTTCCTTGGCCGTTCTGGTGTTGCCCGTTTCCTCTTGCAGAGGCTGGGCTTGGTGTCTCTTCCGACGGTTTTAGGACTCGATATGAAAGTCTTCTTGGGGCGCATCTTCAGTGCAGAATCGTGCAACAAAAACACGCATTAGTCCATTTCTTCAGGTCTCTATATTTAAGGTTCTGTGACAGTAGCCGATAAAGGAGGGGCCTACATGACTAGAGCAAGGTTTGCGGCTGAGTATTCCTCGGTCATCTAGGGGCTTGTACTTATCTCTTCACCTAAAATTTCTCAACCTCCTGTTTAGGGTTTAAGCTCGAAGTAGTTCTGCGATTGGAAGCTAAATTTCAGATCTCTGGAGTTGAAGTGACCCTAAACCCTAACCCACATAGCTCAGGGTTTAGGGCCTATACAGGGTCCTAAACCGTAAACCCTGAACCCAAAGAATCTGCGTAGAGCAGAAAGACAGAGACGTTGATAACCCAGTTCGAAACGGTTAACACATAGAGTCCCAAAGCCTTATGTAGGGCGTTCTACAAGGTTTGCATAGGGCTATAGGGTATTACTTTGGCGGTTTTTCTCTGGTGGACTTTAGGGTGCGGAGTTGTTATTATGATATTTCTCGGGTTAGGATCCTGGTTGCTGGCCCGCGTTGTCCTACATCGTAGTACCGTAATATGAGAACACCAGTGTACAAGATGAGAAACTCCCATGTATGAGAATTTTAAATTGATAATTCGGTTCTTAATGGGTTACTTATGGTTACTTATTCTAACTACCTAAGCCCCTATTCGTAGTATAAGGCCCCCAACATTCTAGAACTCTTACCGTCCTTAATAGTAGTAGCAATACCGATAGACAGCATGATAGTAAAAATCATCCGAATACTAATGTTACTATGTAATACCCATAATGATCAGACTAACCACATATTCATGACAATAGCAAGAAGGAGAATAGTAAGTAGAAGCAGCGACAATAATCATAATGCTATATTATAGCCCTCGAGCCCTGAAGCCCTAAGACCTTGAAAACCCTAAACCCTAAGCTTCAAGTCCCAATCTCAAGTCAGTTAAATCCTGAACCCTGTATGGGCCTCCTCTACGGCCTTTGGGAGCCGTGGTAGATCCGTTAAAGGAACCGATAGAGATCCCTAGAAGGGGCACTCCAAATTGGGCCTCCCACACCCTGGGCCCTAACCTTAAACCCTAAAGCCCTAAACCCTAAACCCTTAGGCCCTAAACCCTAAACCCTAAAACTCTACACCCTTAAACCCTAAACCCTTAAACTCTAAATCCTTAAACCCTCCCTAAACCTTAAACTCTACACCCTTAACCTTAAACCCTAAACCCCGTCGCTGGAGAGCCCCTAGGAGCTGGAGATCCATCAGCTCGCTGACCCAAAGCTCTCGGCCCATTCGATGCAGCTGAAGATCGGTGGCTGGGTAGGGTTTAGGGTTTAGGGTTTAGGGTTTAGGGTTCAGGGTTTAGGGTTTAGGGTTTAGGGTTCAGGGTTCAGGGTTTAGGGTTTAGGGTCCAAGATTTTAGGGTTTGGAGTTTAGGGTTTAGGGTTTGGGGTCTAGGGTTTAGGGTTTGGGGTTTGGGGTTTAGGGTATAGTGTTCGGGGTTTAGGGTTTGTAGGGCCTATCATGGAGCCCTTATGGTCCTCAATAGTGGGTGCTTTAGAGGGTCGTTGGGGTTACCTAGGGTTTAAGGTTCAGGCGGTTTGGGTTTACGTAGGGTTTGGGTTAGGGCTTCTAGGTTTTAGGGTTTTGGGGGTTGCCCCTAAACCCTAAACCGTAAACCGGGTTGGGGTTAAGGTAGGGTGGTTTCGGGTGTGCAGGATCCATGGGTTAGGGTTTCTGCAGGATTGGGGTTGAGGGTTTAGGGGTTGAGGGCTTTACAGTTTCGGGTGTTATAGTGTTTGGGGTTTATGTTTGGGTTTGAGGGTTTGGGAATCCGGAAAAAGTTGGAAAGTTGAGTCGTTGGTTTATTTGTTTTGATGGCGTGTGCTTGAAGACACACACACACACACACACAAATATATGCGCGCACACACACTCGCACTCGCACTCGCACCTCGCATTCACACTTGCACTCGCACCTCGCATTCACACCCGCGCTCACACTCATACTCAGACTCTCTGTCACACTCACAGTCCCACGCACTCAAAGAAAGCAAATAAAGACACACCTTAACACCAAAACCCAAAGCCCTGAACAAAGCCGCCAAACCCGCAAACCCTAAACCCTAAACCCTCTAAGCCCTAAGCCCGAAATCAAACAACTCCGAGTCGCAGCGGAGGCCCCGGCTGGCCGGCCGGGTTTCTCTGGACAGGAAGCTATCAGCTACTGAGGTCGCCCTGCTGCAATCTCCCTATAGGGTTTGGGGTTTAGGG